CATAAATCTGCCTAAGCTTTTATGACCGGAAAGATGATCCCAATTTGGGGGACCCTGGCCTGGGATCCAAGATTCTGAAGATTTGTTCCAGGAGTTGCCCTGTGACTTTCTATACAATCCTTGGGAATTACCTTAACTTTTCTGTGACCTGATCCTCTCTGTAAAGAGAGATAATATTACTTGCCTTAATACAATGCTTTTTTAAAAAAAAAAATCTATGAGATTCCCAGAGGAAAGTGGTGCTTTTTGTCTAGAGGGAAAAATGATACTTTGCTCCTGCAGCAACGTTTAGATAATTATCTGAGATAAACAATTCAATTAAATTTATTTTTGTGTGTGTTCAGCACTTTTCAGTTGAACAGCATGTAATTGCCCCAAGAATACTTTTACCTTTAACTTTGTTTCATCCTGGAACATTACAGATTGTGCCTCACAGGAAGAACTTCCCTTGGAGAAGGAAATTTGAAATAATAATAATATAATAATAATTTAACCATCTCCTTTGCAACAGTTCTCAAGTGTGCCTGTACCCTTTCTCTCCTCTGTGTGTGTATAACAGAATGAACAGGTCTTCTGGCTCCTGATACCTAGTCCTGCGAGCTAGTTAGGGTGTCATTAGCTTATTTACAAGTCAATATGCAAGTACCAATGGCTCCAAATTCCACACCTCAGTTCTGACCTCTCCAGTGAGTTTTTTTGCTTGAGTTCTAACTGCCCTCTGGGTCTGCATCTGAGTATTACACAGCCACCTCCGCCTCAATATGTCCTAAATGAGGCTCATTATTATCTTCTTTCCCCCCCTATCCCACCCCATACCCGGTCAGCCTCTGCCCCAGTTATTCATCCAAGCCTGACATTCATTCCAGATCATTCCATTTCTCTCGCCCAGCATTTTCAATCAATCAGGAAGCCTTATCAATGTCTCTGAAGTCTGTCTCTTCTTACTCCACACAATGTCCTTTATCAGCTCTCATTTGAACTATTGCTGGTTATTGATCCAACGAGTATTTGTTGGCCAGGCACTAGTCTAGGACTTGGGATACAATTAGCAAACAAAATATACAGAGACCCCCAGCCTTGAAGAGTTCATATTCTAGCAGTGGTGGTGGGGAGAAGATGGGTAATAAGAACATAATAAATGGATAATTACATAGCAAATTTTAAAAATAATAATTACTATTAAAAAATTAGAGCAGGGAGTGTTGGGAAGAATTTTTGGCAGGAAGGCTGCAGTGCCATTTTAAGTAGAGTGATCAGGGGGAGTCTCTTTGAGAACATAACATTTGAGCAAAGATGTGAAGGAGGTAAGCCATGTAAGTAGTTGCCTGGGGGAAGCATTCCAGGCAGAGGGAAAAGACCCTAATATGGGAGTGTGGCTGGTATGTTCAAGAAGCAGCAAGAACATCAGCCCAGCTGGAGTGGAGGAAGCAAGGGGAGGCGGTCAGAGCTCACCAGATGAAGGTCAGCCTTTTCTGGGTGGGATCAGGAGTCACTGCTAGGTTCTGAGCAGAGGAATGATAAAATCTGACATATGCTGTCAAAGGATCATTGAGCTGTCACCTTGAGAAGAGACTCAGGGAAACCAGGATCGAAACGGAGACCATGTAGGAGGCTGTAGCAATAATGCAGGTGAGAGATGCGGGTGGCTGGGACAGGGTGGTAGCAGTGGACTTGGTGAGAAAAGGAAGATTCTGGAAATATTTTGAAAGTAAAGCCAATGAAATTTCTGGAAGAACTACTGGGTTATGGTGAGAGAAGTATAGGAGTCAGACACAGGAAGATAAGAGACTTGAGTGGTTTACCTGCTGGGTGCTCTCTGTACAGGAACCCCTCCTCAAAGTCCATCCTCCTTCGAGTAACTTTTCTAAACGGCAAACCTGATCCTGTCACTCCTCACTGAAAGCCTTTGGCAGTTCCCCGTACCTACATCCCCTTCATTTGCTATAGGAGGTCTTTGGTGATATGGCCCTGCCTTTATTTTCTGACATAATTTCAAGCTGCTCTACCTTCCAACTATTCCAAACTACCCTACCTACAGGCACTTGCACTCTCCATGCTGGGTCGTGATTCTGAGTCTTAGATAATGCTGTTTCATATTTTCTGACTCTGCTTCTGAAACCCCCTTCTCCACTGATTTGCCTGATTGATGGGAACTCAATTTCTAGTGCAACCTCAGACAGCATCTCTTTTAGAAGGGGAGCTGAGTGCCCACCTGCGTGTACCCACGGTTCCCTGTACACATCCCCTTGGAACAATCATCACCTGTTGCTGAAATGTGTCTGCCTCTTTTGTAACTGAGTATAATCTCCTCTCTCCTCCTCTGCAAGTACTCAGCACATTACCAGGCACGTAAAGCAATAAGGGTTCCTTATGTGTTTGCTGCTCTGATTTGAAATCTCAAAGGCTGGGTTTGCATAAACAAAATTCCACCCCAGTCCATAGGTCTCCTGGCCATATCTCAGGAGACAGCATTGCCTTTCATCACTGAAAAACCAAAGAGGTCACATGAAGTGAGTGCGTCAAGCAGCTAATGACTTTCTCCCTTTCTCTCTCTGCGTCACCTCAGCCAACCTGGGCCCTGAGCAGTCCCACCAGCATCCTGGATGTTCTGTGATGACTCATACACATTTTACAGTATTTGTCTCCTGAATTTAAGAAAACAAAGGCACAAACAGCATTTTCTCTGGGTGGTGCCAGTGACTGCCCTGTGCAAGGTTAGCAGACGGCAGTGAAAACCACAGCCTAAGGGGAGAAGCAAAGGGACATATCGTGGCTGACGGAGGCCCAGGTTGCCTTTGTGGACAAAATCTGAGAGAAGCAGATGGGGCCATTTTGTAAGCTTTCTATTCAAAGAAAATCAGGAGCAGAATAAAAAGAGGTTTTGGACACAAAAGCTAAATGGAACAGAGCAGATGCAGGAAGCATCAAGCTGGGCCTTTCGGGAGGGGAAGAAATGAAATAGAACCCAAACAAGGCATCTCCCTGCAGCAGAATAAAGGCGCCAGCGCTGCCTTACACTGTCTGTGCAGCTCTCACTCTGGGGGTTCCGGGATCCCAGCCAGGTTCACGGGGCCACAGCCTGGGCCGCTGACTGATGCCAAGACCATTTGCTGAAAGACAACGGTGCCCCAGCCCATTACCCAGACAGCCCAGCAAAAGTGCCTGGGAGAGGGGAGCCTGCGAGTGGCTACATCAGTGACAGCTTGGCAACCTCACGTTCTCGGGGAGGATGGAAGGGTTGGGGGAGAGCAGTGGGCAGGTGTTGGCCAGGGCGGGGGATTGGGGCTTTAAAAAATCTCAGATGCCTCGTGACTCTCTAAGTCTTTGGTAAATTACCTTTTATTAGCTTTGTTAAGCCTCTGCGGCCAGGAATTGTCTCCTCAAAACTCAGCCATCTGTTCCCTTCCTGTCTGTAATTCTGACCACACGCACCAAAAAAAGAGTTTCATTTTAGCAAAAGATGATTCTTCCTTTCAAAAAAAATGGAAAGGGGGATGAAGAGGCGGGAATGAATGAAAGTTGAAATTTGCAGAGGGAGTTACATAAAACGGTGGCTATTTCTGAAACAGGATCACTCCTGACAAAATGCATTATTAATTTCTTGGTGATCCGAGTCAGGATAATTAGCCCATCAGTCAGCACACCGTTGAACAATAAATAAATATGTATTAAACTACTTCTAAAGGCAAGAGACTGGGCTAGACGCTGTGAAAGAAAAAAAGACTTTTCAGAAAGAGTCACTGCACCCAAAAGAAGAGTAAAAATTTTAATCGCAATTTTCGAGAAATGCTGCAAGAAATCAGCTCAAGAAATGCTGCAAGACAGACGTATGGCACAGGCTGGAAGTTCCGTGTTTGCTGGGATGAGGATGTAAGCGCTGAAAAGTTTTAAGGGAGGGAAAGGGAAGTTAGGGAGATAGAAAAGACCCACAGAAGCACCAGGTTCATCTTCCTAGCCAGACAGTAATCCTTTTCTCACTAATCAGCCCATTTTGCGTGAGGATATTCTTTTTTCTAGAAAATTCTTTTCAACACAGAGCTGAGATATAGTCTTCTCTTTTCCTTCAGACAAAAGAGTCCCTTCCAACCCCTCTTCAGACCTGACGACAACCAGCAGCAGCCCAACATCCTCTCCTCTCCAGACCAACCATCCTCCCCGCTTCCCCCCATGACTCAGGATCCAGCAACCCTCTGGCCCCATTTCCTACCCAGGGAAGGCTCCTGCCAAAGGCGTTGCCCAGCCCGGAGCCTGGCACTCCAGATGTATTGGGGTCAAAGATCTCGCAACTGTAATTTATCATCCTCTGAACGTGATTCATCTAGTAAAACAGCTTAACGTTGCCTGAGACTTCAGCCACCACACTGCATTGCGGGTAAGTAGCAAGCCTGTGATCCAACAAAAAACCCTTTTGTCTTTTCCACCGAAACTTGCCACTAAGCCAGGTGTCCCCTGTTTGGGCTGCAAGTCAAGGATGGGCGATTTGGAGAGGAGGAGAACGCATTCTGGTTGAGGGGAGAGGCTCGGGCAATCAGGGTGTTCAGGGAACAATGAGTGGCTACCAGACATAAAAATGGACTCTGATGCTACAGTAAATAAAACAGTTTTATACCAGCATGGATATAGCACCAAATACAGAATGGAGAAACAGAGTCATGGAAATTAAGTATATGTTAAAATTTCCCTTCATGTAAGTGGGGCAATACGGACTATTCATACTCAGAAAATTTGGCTATCCATTTGTCTGAAAGGATGATTCAATGCATTCTTAGCTATCATATATCCAAATTAATTTCAAATATTATTAAATATATACATGTTCTAGAAATAAAAGTATTATATTACATAAACATCGTATATATTAAAAAAGGCAGCTTTTTAATTATGCAGAAAATCTTCCTAAAAAAAGATATAAGATCCAAAGATGTTTTGTAAAATGCTCTATACAACAGAAGACACTAGTTTATCTACGTGTCAAGTGATGCAGCCTCCTCAGTACTCACCAGGATGGATGATGGATTTTGGCTTGTGAGGGGGCTGGGCTGTAAAAAGACAGGACGACTTCCTTAGGAGAAAAAAATAGGTAATGTTGTATAAGGTATTATGAATACATAAAATATTATTTTTATTTAAACTTTCCAGATTGCAAGTCTTTTTTTAACTGTGCTACTAGGATTACGTATACACATATGTAAATATAAATGTGATGTCTGTACATATGTAGCTCTACATATATAAAATATATGTGTGTGTGTGTATAATTATACATATGACAGGAAAGCATCAGAGACCTCCAAAGTTTCTGTGTCCGATCACATTTACATATAATACCCACTTTCTCTAAACCCTATCCAAATATATTTTACAGGAACGCTGCCACCTGGCTCAGTAAAGCCGATGAACTTGAGAGAGTCTTCGAGGGAGAGAAAAAAACTAGATACAAAAGATGGTGAGACCGGTTTTCTGAGGAGTGGAAGGAGGGATTCCAGGAATGTGGTAGGAGCTCTGAAAAAAGGTTATTGTATGAACAAATGAACGAAGGGCCAGTAGTTGAAGGGCTTATCAAGCTTTTGGCCTAAGAAGATGAATAAATACCTATCACAAGCCCTTGAGAAAAACCTGCCATCACAGCCTCAATCCCACACGGCATGTGACAAGATGGACATTTTGCTTCTTTTACTGTCTGGTTCACTTAATTTTCCGTCCAGCTCTCACCTGTGACTATGTAGTCTGTGCTACCTGTAACTCACCTAAGAAGAGTCACAGAAGGCTAATATTGAAAATGACTCTAATTTCAAACACAGAGGCAATTGCTAATGAAACTTATAAATTGAACAAGAAAAAATCATGGGATATACTTACATAAATAACGTAATTTTGTCTCCTAGTACCCCATTATAACCCTGCCCTTGGCGAGGTGGGGGTCCTTGACTACTTTTCTGATTTATTTTGGTCACTCTTAGGGAAATGAAAGTCTTTCGATCACTGTAAGACCCACAGCATAATTTCAATAATTTAACATGTCTAGTCCCAGGTAATAAACTTCAAATTGGAGTTACGGTTACACCTGGCCCCCCGCCCCTCCCCCACCCCCAGCTGGGACCCACTGTGAGCCGCCTGGCTGCTGGAGTGTGGCATCAAGAAAAGGCTCTCCTCCTCTTTTTTCCTGCCCAGACCCCTTGCCCCAGCTTGCCAATCGAGATCCAGGAGGAAGAAGACCAGGAGGAAAGGGGTGCTGGAAAGTCCTTGCCCCTCTGGTGCTGGTCTAAGATGGCTCACCCTCTCTGGACCTGTAGATACTTGATGGGTTATTTGGAGATTCCCTTGCTTTGTGCCTCTGCCCGCAATTCCTGCACTTTGGGCAATGATGCTTCACCCGCTGACTCCTCCTTGCCCAGCTCTTGTTTTTTTTCTTGGTTCAGGCCATGGAGAATCTCTGCTGGTCTCCTCCTCCTTCAGGTAGGCCTCTACCTGGATGTTAAATGGATCCAGGATAATTCCTTCTTCCCCAGAACCTCCTCTGTTCTGGAGGTTCAGGGCAATTCCAAGCTTGCACTCCTCGTCACAAAGTGCCCAACAGCTCGCCCGCACATCTCCTTGACTTCCAGATTTCCTGGGCAGGCAGACATCTGCCCATTTTGCCCTCCAGCCGCAGAGAACATATTTCAACCTCTCAAAACAATCCCATTAAAGTGCCTGTCACTTGTCTTCCTTAGCTGGGACTCATAGCAATAAATTACTCTCTCCAACAAACCCTCCTCACCTATTCTTTCCAGCATGCCCCTCTCTTGACCTTTCTATACACCTCATCTGTGGGAACAGCCCTTGGGCGAGAAGCCCAAGACTTGTGTAACCAGTTTTCAGCTATTTCCTTTGCAAAACTGATGCTTGCCTGTCTCACAACTCATCTTAGTATTGGATACTTTTCTGCCTGCCTTGGTCAAATATTTCAATTTAACATATTTTTACACTAGTGGATTGACAATTACTTTTTTCCCAGGTTGATGGCTCTGATTCTATGGCTAGCTGGAGTTACATGGGGGAAACTGGCTCATTAATCTTAATATGAAGGTATAAAAAGCCACAGGACAAGGATTTTGGAAAGATTCATCCTTTTGTTTTCTGTGGTCGCCAGCCTCCAGAATGGCCCCCAGTGGTCCCTGCCTCCTGGTACACACACCTTTGAGTAGTGCCACTGTATCAGGGTTGGTCTCTGTGACCAACAGAACAGAGAGAAGGGATGGAATATTACTTCCAAGATTAGGTTGTAAAGCACTTCGGCTTCTGTCTTGCTTGCTCTCATTCTCATGGAGATACTGATGTTGATACTCCCTCTGGGGGAAGCCATGTTGTGAGCGGGCACCATAGAGTCTCACATGGAAAGGAAACCTCTTGCCAACGGCTGCGGAAGTGAACTTGGAAATGGATCCTACAGCCCCCACTAAGCTTTCAAAGACTACAACCCCAGCTGACATCTTGATTGCAACTCAGTGAGAGATCCTGAACCAGAACCACCCAGCTAAGAATCTCGACCCTTGGAAACTATGAAATAGAATGTTTGTTATTTTAACTTGCTAGGTTTTGGGGTCATTTGTTATGCAGCAATAAATAACTACTATATTGTCTCAACAGTTGCACTGACAGTTTTTTACATTTGCGAAATAGTTTCACACTGATTATTAGATTTAACAACATAACTAAATCCGTCTTTATATTCTAAAGTCCATTGTGAAAACGCAAATGAGAGAGTGCTTCGTTTGTCAAAGTATTTATTACAGGAATTTTTTGAAAAGCAGACTAATTAGGTATAACTAAAATATGATTTAATCTACAAAATCAACTTCCAGACAATTTTTTAGAAATATTTGTATTGTGTAAACAAGATACATCTATAAAATCATAGTTTAGAGATTCAGACAGGACTCAAAGTGTCATCTGAGTTATCATGTTTGTTCTGGGCAGCTCTGAACTCTAACGCTTCCACACATATCACAGCTATTTCTTGTTTAACAGTCTCTAGAAAAGGAACTGGGTCTAGGGTGAGGAGCTTTGGGGAAAAGAATCAGCATTTTGCCATCTTTGCAGTTAGAAAGTGCTTAATAGGTAACTAAATTATATCATATTCAAAATGTTCTTTGCTCTTCTTAATTTTCATTATGTTCTCCTGAGAATAAGTGAGGTAAACAACCATTTAACATCTGGAGAACCGAGGCAGAGACTAGAGAAAGAGCCTTTCCAGTGATGGTGTAACTGAGGTGGGAAGGAAGAAAGACAGCCAACTAGACCTCACCCAACAAGCAGACCGTGGGTGGGTTTTGTTCTGAACACAAGCCCTGAAAGCTTGATAATGTTATTGACTCTCCATAATTATGAACATGTTTAATCAATACTAAAGCAGCTGGAAATATCAATCCTAAAGAATAAAGTGTGAGGGAGTGGGGGTTGAATTTGAATACACTATTTCATCAGCAGCAAAGAGAAACATACTAGGTGCTATGTGGGAAACCTCACATGGCATTAGACCAAAAATATGTTCCCAGTGACTTAGGATAAAGTTCAATCTATGTACATGACTTTAAAAGTCTCCACTCACTTGTCCAGTTTCATCATTCACCTTTTCCTATTTATTCTCTATGCTCAAGACCATACTGGATTTCTTTCAGTTCCCCAAATTTGCTGTGCTATCTCTGACCTCTGGGCTTCTATTCATTCCATTCCTTCTGCCTAGAACATTCTTCCACACCTTCTTCCCCTTATCTGCTCATCTGGCCTCAGGAAGTGTTCCCAGACTGCTCTAGACTGGGTTATATGCCCCTCCTATGTGCTCTGTTGTACTGGACACTTCCATGGTCACAGAAAATGCTCACACTGCATTAGACATTGGTTATCTCTCTTCTTGCAGGACTCAGGTCACCAGGTCAGGGGCCAAGTCTGCACTGCTCATTACTGTACAGCAGGGACCTACAACGGTGGCTAGCACATAGTAGGTCTTAAATAAACATTTGCTCAAAAATAACTATTCATCAGGAAATACCACCAGGTAAACTGCTCCCCCTGGTGTGGATGGGAAATCACCTTGTTGTCTCCATATATACTACCAGGCAAGCTATCCCAGAAGTCATGGAACAGAAAGGCTCACAACCAGATTACAATGCTAAAATCACATGGTTTATGGAATCAAATTAAAACAAACAGTGAGAAACAAGGGAAAAGAGATGAGTTGGTTTATAGCCTTAGGATAAAGTGCAAGAAGGATGGACCACACCACCTGAATCCCGGTTACACAATATTCAAAGATTTTCTCTCTTTCCCTCCCTGCTTCTCCCCCTCTCCACCCTCACCCTCTCCTTCTGTGCACTGTACCTTTTCCTGCTGACCAGAGGCGAGGTTTGAGGAAAAGGGACCGACAGAAGGAGACACCTGGGGCCAAGCCAGACTCATTATCTCAGGCAGATGCAGGACAATTACACCTGGCCCCAGCCAGAACTCACCAGTGACCTGCTGAGCAGCCCAGGCTTTTGTTTGCATATTTTGGACAGGGGATATATGGAGCCAGAATGAGTGTCATCAATGACCCACCATTGACCCCATAAGTACTGATTGTCTAATGTGCCTCATGAATATTTAGAGGTTCATGAATATTGGTGCCTCTTGGGCCTTCCATCCATTTCCATCTGTGTTCAGCATGTAATGCTTGACTTTATCTGTGTCTAACCTGTCTCATAGAAATTTATGCTCTCACATTTCTGGAGGCCGGAAGTCTGAAATCAAGGTTTCAGCAGGGTTGGTTTCTTTTGTGGGCTGTCAGGGAGAAGCAGTTTCATGCCCCTCTTCTAGCTTCTGGTGGTTGCTGGCCAGCCTTGGTGATGCTTGGCCTGTAGATACGTGACTCTAATCTCCACCTTGGTCGGCATATGGCCTTCTTCTGTCTCATGTTTAACATGGCTTTCTTATAAGGATACCAGCTGTTGTTCTTAGGGCCCACCCTAATCTGGTATGACCACATCTTGACTAACTACATCTGCAAATACCCTATTTCCAAATAAGATCACATTCACCAGTACC